ACACACACACACACACACACACACACACACACACAGGTTCATCAGCAGCAGCTCTGTGATCTCACATGTCTCATTAACACTGACAGGACTTTAGATGATCTCTGATGTGCAGAGTTAAATATAATAAAGTTTACTGACAGACCCGGAGGCCTGTGCAGCTTCACTTAGCAACTCGAGCTAACCTCACGTGAGAGAACGCACTGAAGCACGCGCAGCGATGCGTTCGTCACGTGTGTTCGATCACAGCAGAGAAATAAAAAGCTCAGGTCGAGTCTCTCACCGGGAAGAAGCGGCCTCATGGTCTCTGCTGCTCGTCTCTCGTCCTCACGGTCTCTCGCTCATCGGCGCTGAGTCGCTGCTAAACTACACGAGCAACTCTCACCGTGGCCCGCGCTGATTGGTCCGCTGCCTCCGACGCTGCGCTGCAGCCAATCACAGGGCGACGTGTAGTTTCAATACCACCACTGAGAGAGGGGGGGGGGGGGGGGGGGGGGGGGGCAGAGTCAGAGAGAGAAAGGATGGGGAGAGGGTGAGAGAGAGGGGGGGAAGAGGTGGAACACAAGTGAAATAATAATATTAATAATTTTAATAATAACAGATTTCTTGTCAGACACTTTGTCTCGAGCGGTGATTTGTCGACAGGGTTGAGGAGAATTATTATATACAGATAAACTGTGGATGGGTGAAGTCTGTTCTTACTGAGGAGGAGAAGGGAACATGTGAAAGTATCAAACATCTTCAAATAGATGGAAAATGACCAATAACATCATAGAGAATATTACACGGTGCTGTATACAGAAATATGATTTAGTTATGTATATTTTTAGACATGCTTGAGTAAACAGATATGTATACACATTTATATTAACTTGTTGTTTTCAGTCAGTATTATTTCAACTTTAAAGCCTTAGCTAACAATTACTTTTATTATCAATACATCTGACATGTTCCTCTTTAGTGATGTATTGTTTTAAAACTAATTTAAAGTTAAAGTGAACATCTGTTCCTCCTGTAACATGTCAGAATGTCTGCTGTGAACAAGGCGCTTATCAAACTTTACTGTAGAACAGGTTTTTAATTATTAATGGATTATTAACCTCTGTGGTTTGTACCATTGTTTTCTATCAGAAATAGAAAAGTACTTGTACTACTCACAGGTACTACTGCAGTGTGGAGGCCTTGCCACTAGGTGGAGACAAGCAACAAGGTAAAGTGCTGCTCAGTCATTTTACTGCAGAACTGATCAGATGCACTTAGAATAAAAGTTGTGAAGAAATATTACCCAGCAAATAAATATAATGATATTGAAAATTAAAGGAGAAAAATATTATCAAGAGCTTCATTCTCTCACTTCTGATCTGATATTTGATCTGACACCAACATTTTCTCTGATCCTGGTTCAGTCTGAGTCTACTTTACTCAGTGACACCCTGTAATACATTCAAAATGGATGATGGATATGCAGGTCTGGGGTCTGAATGGAGAAATATTGCTGGACCAGTGTATTACAGCCTTTACAATATATTACCTTTGACCAGTTATTGGTCTTTGAGTTGCAGCTGAAGATGAGTGAGTGTCTCTGCTTCACAATTCATCACATACCGAAGATATTTATAATCTGATGCCTGCACTGCTGCACCAACACAACCACAGACACACACAACCACAGACACACACAGCAACACCGGAACACATGAGGTGGGCCTCAAAAATAAAAGCACAGGCTGGATGGGTTAACTATAGACCTTTAAAAAATAGGTAACTCTTAATTAATCATGAATTATACAATTATATACAATAATGATAATGGTGTAATACTACCACTACTACTACTACTACTAATAATAATAATAGAAAGTTAAAACTTAAAAGTGATAGAAAACACTGAATCCTAAATAGCCCCTGACGGCTGTATGCATGGTGTGTGTGATAGTAAGTCTGTGTGTAGAAGCACTTTGTGAATGTGTGTGCAAATTGGTGAATGTGTCTTGTATAGTCAAAGAGTGGCTGATAAGACTGACAAACTATATAAAACACTCCATTTACTGAATGCAGGACATGTGGCGAACTGGGAATCGTTCCGCCTTGCTGTTGCTAATATATTGACTCCTTCACTGCAATTAAAACACCTTAAAATAACAGCTGCTTGTGATCTGGTGCTTAAGAGTCACTTTGAAGAAATCTGCAGCACGAACTGCATTGAGAGGGGTCGTTTTATTTTGGAAAGTTTGTGTCGGAAGTGTGTTTTTTGATTATGGCTACCTTGACGTTACGCGCACTTCAATGCCAACTTTCTCGGAGCGCACAGGCGCACTGTTCACTGCCAAACAGCTCGGCTGAGCTCAAGTGAGGAGACTTGACGCTGCGACCACCGCAGAACCAACACATCCATTATCTTCAAACTTCACCTCGGAGGTTTGGGGGATTTTGCAGCTTTTACGCACAGCGCCGGAGCGTCTGGGGACTTGTTTGCACTTTGCCAGCAGCAGGTTGTGTTGGAAATCTCGGTTCATTTGAGCTGTTTTGTGTCGGACCTGTTGTCTACACAATGTGGGGGGTCCAGAGGACGCGGTACGCAGACTGCAACGGCTCTGAAGCCAGCGAGGAGACGGAGATCGTTGTGAACATCGGCGGAGTGAAACAGGTGCTATACGGGGACGTGTTGAGCCGCTACCCGGACACCCGGCTGGCTGAGCTGGTGGACTGTTCCCTGAAGTCTCCGGAGGACATATCTTCACTGTGTGACGACTATGACCCGGACACTGGAGAGTTTTATTTTGACAGAGACCCCGAGGCGTTCAAGTGCGTAATTGAGTTGTATTATTATGGAGAGATCCACATGAAAAGAGGAATCTGCCCCATTTGTTTTATGAAGGAGATGGAGTTCTGGAAGATCGACTCGGATTTCCTGGATGACTGCTGCACCTTCCACCTGAAGGAGGTGGAGGACGAACTTGCAGAGATCGCGGAGAAAGTGAAAACTATCCTGGTGGACAGAGAGGGAGACCCGTCTGCTGCGGGCTGGCAGCGCTTCCAGATGTGCCTCTGGAGGCTGATGGAGAAGCCGGAGTCCTCGCTGCCCGCGCACATCATCGCGATCGTCTCCTTCATCTTCATCCTCGTCTCCTCCGTGGTCATGTGCGTTGGGACCATCCCCGACCTGCAGGTGGAGGACGCAGAGGGAAACCTCACGGAGCACCCGACTCTGGAGGTCATCGAGACGCTGTGCATCTGCTGGTTCACTGTTGAATACTTTCTGCGTCTCATCTCCTCCCCCAACAAAATCAAATTCGTGCTGGCTTTCATGAACATCATCGACTTCATGGCGATCATGCCCTTCTTCGTGGTGCTCGTCCTCACCTCCTTCGGCGCTGGAATGATGGAGCTGGCTAACGTGCAGCAGGCGGTGCAGGCTTTACGCATAATGCGCATAGCGCGCATTTTCAAGCTGGCACGTCATTCCTCCGGACTCCAGACGCTCACATCTGCCCTGAAGAGCAGCTTCAAAGAGCTGGGGCTGCTCCTCATGTACATGGGCGTGGGGGTGTTCCTTTTCTCCGCACTGGGCTACACCATGGAGCAGAACCACCCGGACACCCTGTTCACCAGCATCCCACAGTCCTTCTGGTGGGCAGTGATCACCATGACCACAGTGGGCTATGGAGACGTCTACCCCAAGACCACTTTAGGTCGGTGCAACGCAGCCATCAGCTTCCTCTGCGGGGTGATCGCCATCGCGCTGCCCATCCACCCCATCATCAACAATTTCGTCCTGTTCTACAACAAGCAACAGGTGCTGGAGACTGCGGCCAAGCACGAGATCGAGCTGATGGCGCTGCGCTCCGGCGCCGAGGAGCTGGAGGCTGCACCCAGTGCGCAGAGACACGTTTGCGGTGCGGGGGTGTGGGACAGCACCATGCGCTCCTGCCACAGTGACACTTACATCCCTTTACTGAAGGATCCCAGGGGAGGGGCCGGCATGTCGACCCCCAGCAAGGACACGAGCTTCGGAAGCACAGCCGAGGCCAACGAGTATTTTGTCTCGTGAACAATAAACACCTGCCGAACAGAAGAACATCAAAATTAATAACTCACTGTTGATTTGTGATTCTTTCAAACTTAACCTCTGGGTTAATGATACAATGACGACTTGAGATTGTAAATAGCCTCAGTAGAAATTGCAGTCGTGGCCTCTGAGGACCTTCACTTTTTGAAAAATTGCGCCTATTAAAGGGACATATATTGACTTGATGAGCTGTGCCTTTGCGCAGTGACTCCCTGTGGGCTGAGGGGAACTGTTTGAACAGGCTGTATGTGGATCCCCCCCTATGTAGGCTCCTTATATAACTCCCCCATCCCCAATCCTCACACTCAGACTGTAGACAGCACAGTAGCGTATTCCTCTGTACAGAAATATATATATATCACCATGAATGTCTGTTTTTTGAAATAATAAAGAAAGGAAGCTCCTGTGAGAGAAAAGACAAATGTGCTGAATCCATGAGACATCAGGTGTTTCACAAAAGATTACACCAAAGTCTCCATTGAACACCACAGGTGGGGGTGGTACAGGGAACACATGAAAGCAACATATCATAAGGTTTGTTCGTGTCTGTTTTTGCTTGTGATCTTCCTGGGATCAGAGATTTATACTGCGACTGAGAGCGAGGTAGTGTTTCAGATGTAGAACTCTGTGCAGGAGTGTGTTAAAAGCAGTGCATGTGTCAGTGGGCTGCAATTCTGCGAATGATCACATTGTCAACACCGGGACCTCAGCAGCTGCCTTGGCTGCAGGACATGTCCTTTTAATGGGTTTACATTTTAGCAGCAGTCGTCACCACTCTGCTCCACATGAGCAGCGGGTGAGGTGAAGCAGCAACAGGCTGGACGTTAAACAGAAATAATGCAAATGAGAAAGGGAACGACGGAGCTCAGATAGATGAAAAAGAGGAAGAAGAATATAAATAATCAACCTCTTCTCCATTAATTCATGAAAAATGATATGTAAGAGTATTAATGAGTCTGAATCTGCCTCAAGTCTTAATACAATTCTGACACTAATGTTTCTCACACTGTGTCCCACACTTTCAAAAATGAACTTTAATGGCTGCTATATTTAAAGGTTAAAATTCCACAATTTGAAAGGTCACTCCTACACCGTTAGTCTGCACAAATACAACGTTCCTCAGAAACTTCCTCACTCGGCACGGCCGGGGAGCTATAATTAAAATGGGACATTCGATTCAAACATGTCCCAGATGTCCATGGTTTGATATTTTTGATTGCAACCTGGAGGGACGAGCCAAGACTGCACCTCATGTGCCCCAGTGTTATTTTGTACAACCATCAGCAGAATGAGAACACAGCTCCTAAGTATGGATGGATATCACTGCTGTCCAGTTAAAGCTGCTACCTTCATGCCAGCATTAGAAAAATATAATTTCACAGACTGAAAAGATATCAGGGACCCATTTTCTAACAAAATACAACAAGGGCGTTAAATCTTCAGTTGATTGAAGTTGGACATGAACATGCAGATATTATGTTAGTTGTAAAAAAAAATACAGTGTTCTGCCTGATGAGGGAGCTAAGAGTAAAGGGCAAAAATAATAACATTTGAATTGCAGTGATTGTTGCACCTCCTGTCACAGTGACGGAGGCTGATCCATCTTCCTGCCTCACACTGACAGAGCATCATTCACTGGCACAAGACGTCAGTGTGTTTGATAAGCACGGATTCCAAATAAGCGTTTTAATGTTTTCCACCGAGCTCCAGTCTAAGTTGAGCTGCCTGAGAAAGAGAGATCACGGGGGAGGTCAGGCAGGACTCTGCAGTCCGTCCACCCACACGTGTCCAACACAGGAGTCTGCTATCTCTGCCGGCCAGCCGCAGATTCTCACATGTCAGAGCTCGGGAGAAAAGCCTTTGTGCACGCTGACAGGTGGAGCTGGAATGTCAAAGGCATGCATTGTGCAATTGTGCAATTGACAATGCCCCCCCCCTCAGCAGATGCACATGCAAATACACATGCACCCACCTTCACGTTCAGATTTAGATTTATACGAATGCACACACACACACACACAGCGGCAAGCACAGACATCCTCCCTTTCTCTCCCACAAGTGCATACAAATAATTACAAGCACACAAACACACAACCATCTGCGGTGTACTCCACAGCGACCTGCTGTGATCGGATGGCTAATCACCAGATTTTACACCCACATGTTGGTCATCTGCGGCGCTCAGTGGGCGTTTTAAGATTAGAGGTACTCCTGAGTATTTACATGAAAATTTGTGCTCATCGTTATCGTCCATTAAAAAAGCCGCAATTAAACAGAGGATTTTTACAGCTTGTTAATGGACGTTGCCACTGACGGTGTATGTTTCTAGATGGTCAGAGCTGTTATATCCTGACAGATAGTTTTTTTGAGTAAAGATGAGTTGTCTGACGTTATATATATATATATATATATATATACTCAAGGTTATATATTTGAGCCACATGATACAAGTGTAAACATAAGGAGGTATGCGTTCTCTCCTATGTGCCACTCTCGACACCAGGGAGGTTATGTTTTCACCCCTGTCTGCTTGTTTGTTGGTTGGTTTGTTTGATAGTTACCATAATGAACCAAAAACAACTAAACTGATTTGCATGAAACTTGATGGATGGATGTGGTATTGTGTCAGGAAAGAATCCATTGACGTCATGGAGGGGGCGGATCCAGGAACTTATTTTTATGTCACTTTCTTTAACATTGCGAGGTCGTTTTTTTGACATTTTCCAATTTCCCAGAGAATAATTCATGGATCTTGATAAAAAAAGAAAATCAGGCATATTTAGGGGATTGATTTCTCTGACTGTGTGAAATTTGGTGCAGCTTGATTGAATTTGAGGCAACTATTGGGCCTTGGCAGTTATCCATTAGAGTGGCGCTCCACTGAGTGCTGCTCTAATGGTGTTTACACGATCTCACTGACATGTCTTTCCACTCTTAACATGCAGCAAAGGTAGAGAAGAATAATCTGCAGCCTCTGCCGTGTTTGTTTCACCATCACAGTGTTAAACCGTGGATCGTGCTTGAAGATGCTGTAAATAAACACAGCATGACATTCAGCCTGAACCCTGAGATGTTTCCAGCTGCTGCTACAGTCAGTTAACTGGGAACTTCAGTGGAGATAAACTTGTGTGACGACAGTGTTGCTGCGTGAGATTCAGATAATCAAAGCAATTCCTGAATCCTTGTGTATCGCGTCCAGCTGACTGCCAGCTCTGGGATTGTTTACTGGTGATGTACTTGCACTGAAGTATTAGGTTACACTCAACCATTTGAGGACAGCGCGGACACACAGAGAAGCCATCTTTTACTCAACCCTCGTAACTAAAAATAGACGAATCCCTGAAGGTGTCCTGGACACACAATTAGCCCAGACAAGGAGAAGTCCAACACAAACAAGAGAAAATTAAATTATTATCTTGCAAGAAAGTTAAAGAAAGTGAAATCTAAATTCCAGGATTCGCCCCAAAATTTGATGGGTTCTTTTTTGGCACATGTCCAATCCCTCCAACCAAGTTTCATGCGAATCTGGAGAGTATTTTTTTGCGAAGCCCATACAGACTCAAACATCAGAATCCGAGTTGCAAATAGAAGCAAATAAAAATAAAGACAGAGAGAGAAGTAACACAACACAGGAGGCATTCAAAACACCTCCTGGATAAATATGGCTCTCTGGACGACACTAAAAGCAGATAATGTCCAGCCTCAAGTGGAACAAATGGGATATTTTAATCGATTCATATCCTGGAGAAAATGGCCAAACAACATTCATTTGAATAAGAATGTGCAATGCCAGGGTTTAACAGCCCACCTCTCTGAGCTCTATCTCCATTTGAGAGACATCTTCAGCTGCAGGAGAGGGAAAGGTAATCTCCCTGATGTCACATTCAGACGAAAAAACATTATCGAGGAGCCTTTTTTTTTTGTGCATGAGTTTTTTCAATAGGAATGTTTAAAACAGTGCGTGGGTGTGTCCTGGAGCACTTTGATTCAAGCCGAGAGCTTGCATGACAATAATTACATAGATTAAATTTGACCTTCTACAAAACAGCGGAAGCGGTAGGATGAAGCACGGAACCCACTCAACCCGTTTGCAAGAATTATTTTCATATCTTCATTTCTCTCCCCCTCTCACCTTATCACTTCTCTTTTCTCCTGCAGAATGTTGTCTGCTAAAATCCTCACGTCAGCCCTTGTGGCTTTTCTATAACAATGCGGATCAGGAATAGCGAGTGAACATTTATAGAACCTGCAGAATGCAAATACACTTTCATTTCACAGAATCCAATAACTTGAGCCCACTCAACACATTGTACTGAATGCATTACTCAAATGGCCTCACAGCTGACTTTGCCAGAACCTTTCAAGATGTCAATGCAAAGTGTCAAACAATAAAATCAACACAGTCGTGCTGCTGCAACATAAACACAGACGAGTAAAGAGAAAGTGCAGCTTGTGCAAAGAGCTGAATGAAGGTTTCTTGAAGGAAGCTGCAAGAAAATCAGTTGTGTATTGCTGCACCTTTAGAGGCCTTTTGAAGATCATCACAGTGGCACGACGGGTTCCGAAGGCTCCTTCAAATGCGACCAACGAATACGTCCTTTTATCCCAGAGAAATGAAGGCTCCAACGGGATCCTGGCAAGTGTATCAGTCCTAGAAAGACAAGACGTCCAATGCTTGAGTATCAGGCTTAAACTCAATCAAACAGCTGATTATAAAACAAGGGGGCGGTAGCACTTTCTCAAACTTTCAGCTCTTTCGGACCAGACAGACTCATTTCGGTTTGGTCTTCGAAGGTTGCGGCCCCTTGAATTGAGACACAGCTCCAGTTACGGCTGCACTGACACTGAGGTGTGTGGAGAACTCAGTAGCCAACATAAATCAGGTCTGAGTGTCCTGGTGGATCACCTCAGTAGTTTATTATCTTTTGTCTTAATGAAAATGCAGATTTATGTTCAGCGCCTCCTGAGAGCAAAATGAAACTGTGCTAGATAATGTCAAACTACAGCCTCAGTGGACGTAATAATCCCGAACCTGTCAAAACTCTTTACGTGATAAGAAGATTGAGGAAGATGGAGAGTGTGCGTTCAGCTTTTAGTCCTGGAGCGAGTTCACTGTCTTGAGATTTGACATGGAAGTTTTGGCCACGTGTTTTTTCAGATCCAGAGCAGAGGAGGTTTTTTTTGTTACGGCGTCTTTTGATGTGAAATAGAGAGCTGGTGGTTCTGGGCAGTTTAATGCTCAGCTTCAGTGAAAACATCTGCGTTGGCTCCTGCTCAACTTGCTTTACGACATTTATACGTGACCTCAACCAGTCGTCTGCTCCTCTGAGAACAAACCAGGTCCTGTAGTGTAGAGTTACTGCAACTCTCATGCTGTAGAAAACAACCCTTCTGATTAGAGTCA